ATCCTCTACCTCTTCGATCTCCGCCACTTCTGCTTCGAACACACTCTTTTCAAGATGCAACAGAGTGACACTTCTACTCTTGCAATCGACCAAGCTCTGAGCAATATTCGACAATAGGTCTGCTCGACCATTCTCTCCTCGAGGAATTTGTATTAGCTCGAACGAGTCAAACTCCTCTCTCAGCTTCTTCATCTCATCCACATATTTCTGCATCCGATCCTCCTTGACTTCAAACCCTTCTTGAAACTGCCCAACCACCAGTTGAGAATCGGAATGCACTTGTAATTTTCGAGCTCCTCCTGCTTTGGCTAGACTCAAGCCCTTAATCACTGCCTTGTACTCAGCTTCATTATTGGATATCTTGAACCCCACTTTAGTCGCAAATTCCAAGTAATCACCTTTGGGGGAGACAAGAACAATTCCCAATCCTGCCCCGCTTCGGGCCACAGATCCATCTACAAAACAACTGCCATAATCCCTCTAACTCCTCCTCGACTTTCGTGCCCTCCTGGATAAAATCAGCCAACACCTGTGCTTTTACGGCTCTCCTTGGCTCGTACGTCAGAGAATATTCACTCAGTTCAACCGCCCACTTCACCAAATGACCAGAGACTGATGGCCGGCCAAGTGTTTCTCCCAGCGGCATATTCGTTCGCACCCTCACCTTGTGATTCAAGAAATAAGGTCTTAACTTTCGGGCAGTTACAACCACAGCTAAAGCACACTTCTCGATCTCCGAATACCTTGTCTCGGCCCCCTGCATCACTCTACTCACATAATAGATAGGGAATTGCGCTATTCCTTCCTCTCGCAACAACACCAAACTCACAGCCCTCTCTCCAATAGAAATGTATAGCACCAATTCTTCGCCCTGTATGGGCTTAGCCAACAATGGAAGGTTGGCCAACACCCCTCGCAACTCCTCAAATGCCTTCTGTGCCTCCTCTGTCCACTGGAATTTCACACTCTTCTTCAACGTTTTAAATAATGGGCCGCTCTTCTCCGCCACCTTTGATATGAAACGACTGAGCCCCGCTATTCGACCAGCCAAGATCTGCACTTCTTTAACATTCGTCGGTGACTTCATCTCCATCACGGCTCGAACCTTCTCCGGATTGACTTCGATACCTCTCTTGGTCACCAAGTAACCCAAGAATTTTCCGGATCTCACCCCAAAAGAGCATTTAGCTGGATTCAGCTTCATCCCGTACCTTCGTAATGTTAGGAACGTTTCTTTCAAATCTCGTACGTGATCCAACTCCTCCTTACTTTTCACCAACATATCATCCACGTATACCTTCATGTTCCTCCCCAGTTGTTCCTTGAAGATTTTATCGACCAACATTTGATACGTGGCGCCCGCGTTTTTCAGGCCGAACGGCATGACCACGTAACAATAGGTCCCTCGACTTGTTACGAAACTCACCCGCTTCCAGTCCTCTCTCGCCAAGGGGATTTGATGGTATCCCTGGGAGGCATCCATCAGGCTCAACAACTCGCACCCTGCCGTTGAGTCGACCAGCTGGTCAATTCTGCGCAGTGGGTATAAGTCCTTCGGGCATGCTTTGTTTAGATCGCGGAAATCAATACACATCCTCCACTTCCCCTCCGCCTTTGACACCATCACCGTGTTTGACAGCCATTCGGGGAACTGAATCTCTTTAATGTGTTGCGCTCCCAACAGTTTCTCGACCTCCTGCTCGATGATTTTGTCCATCTCTGCCCCATGGTGCCTTCTTTTCTGCTTCACCGGCCTCACGCTGAGGTCGATGTTTAGCCGGTGCTCGATCACCTCCGCACTTATTCCCGTTAACTCCTCTGCTGTATAGGCAAAAATATCAGCGAATTCCCTGACCAACTGGATCAGCCTCGACAGAATAGGCTCTTCCAGATCTTTTCCGATCCGGAACTTTCTCCCTTCACAACCCTCGATCATTTGAATCTCCTCGACTTCTTCCCCAGGTTGGATATCCATTTTCTCCTTTCCTTTCTCCACTTTCTGTTTATCCTCCTTCGACCTCGATCCCCCGGGTCGATTAATCTTCTCCCCCTTCGACTCGGCCTGTCTCTTTGCCAATTGCTTATTATTGCTGACCGTCGTTTGGTAGCAACTTCTCGAAGTGAGCTGATCCCCAGCAATCTCCCCTACGTTTTCGCCCACCGGATATTTGATCGTCATGTGGTACGTGGATACGACTGCCTGGAATGCATTCAAGCTCGTCCGTCCCATGATGATGTTATAGGACGACTCAGCCCCTACAACCACAAATCTTACCATGCGCACCTTCCTCAACTCTCCCGATCCTAATGCCACGGGCAAACTGACCTCTCCCATCGGCATAACTTCTCCCCCGTTAAAACCGTTGAGCGCCGTGGTCACCGGTTTCAGCTCCATATTCAGTTCCTTGTTAATCTGCACAAAACAGTCATAGAACATCACATCTACCGAAACCTCCGCGGTTATCACCAAAGCATCATTGTGCGGCAGGACCACACCCTCGGCATCCTCCGCCTTAAAACTTATCACCGGCATGCGAGCCGTAACTCCTACCTCCTCTCTCTTCCTCTTCACTGCTCGAGCATGCTCCTTCCTGGCCCTGTTCGAGTCACCATCCGTTGGCCCACCAGAAATCATGTAGATAGTTCCTCTCTTCATCGGGGCCTCTCCTCCATGTTCCCCCTTATCACCATCTCTCCTTGGCTTCTTTCCTCGACCGTCTCGACCGTCTTCCTCCTCATCTCTATCGCTCCTTTCCTCCGAGTCCTCCCTACACCTTCTCCTTCCTTTCCCCTTCACCCTATCATGATACACAAATTCTTTCAGATATCCTGCTCGAATCAGCCTCTCGATCTCATCTTTCAAATGTCTGCAATTTTCCGTGGTGTGACCATAATCTCGATGAAAGCAGCAGTAAATATCCGACCTAGGCCGAATTGGGCCTGTAAACCTCGTCTTTGGTCAAGTCACATCCTCACTCGACAGCTTCTGCTCCATAGCCTCGAGAACCTCCGTCATGTCTTTTCTCAAGGGCGTGAAAGTGTGGTATCTCTGTCTCTCAAACAACATCGGTCTCCTCTGCCACTCATCCCTCTTCTCCCTTTTTGAATCTCGACTCTCTCTTCGGGGTGATGCCCTTTTCTGCCCACCCCGCTTGGGCGAATTTCTCCTCGGCGATCTCCTCCTCTGCGGACTTTTCTTCTTTTTTGGCTCTGGTCGGGCCACTCCCTCCAACTTAGCAAACTCCAACTCCATTTCCTCCAAGTTAATATACTTCCTGCACCGCTTCAGCACATCCTCATATGATCGAGCAGGGGTTTTCGCTAGGGAAGTTCGGCAAGGCCTTGCTCGAAGACTCCTTATCAATCCACCCGCCTTCACTTCGTCCGAAGCCGAGTGCACCTCTAAGCATGTTTGGTTATATCGAGCAACATACTTCCTTAATGATTCCTTCTCCCCCTGCCTCATCGCCATCAAGGTCAAGTACGTTTTCTCCTGCACCACCGCGCTCGAATATTGATTAATAAGCTTATCAGTAAAGTCCTCAAAGCTCTCGATCGACCCAGGTGGAAGTTGATGAAACCAATCGAGTGCTCCTCCACGCAAAGTCGATAAGAATGCCCTGCAACAAACAGAATCAGAGTACCCATGCATGTTTGTACCGTTTTTGTCCTGATTTTTCTTATTGTTCTGTCGATATTTTTGTATCATTTCATGTCGTTTATTTCATTATTCATGCGATTAATAGTGTATTGAGTGTTTTTCTTTTGTTCGTGTCGTATATAGATTATTTCGATTATTTTTCTCTATTTTCTCTATTTTGCGCGTTGATGGTGTGTAGGTCCAAAAATCCGACGGGGAATCATTCAAATAATATTTTGAGCCGATGACTTGTGGTTGATAGAGAAATTTGTCAGCTACGCATGAGAAAAAACAAAATACAATTTCGGCTTCAAACGAAGTCATACGAACCAAAAACGTAAAGTCTAGCAAACTACCAACCCTTTAATGGTTGAAAATTCCATAAAATTTGTATTCTGGGCAAAAGTGTGGTTTGCAAGCATCATTGAATAGAGGAGTTCGTTAGCTACGCTAGAAAAAAAACAGAAGTCAATTCCGAGTTTGAACGAGCCCAAACGAGCTCAAAACGTGAAGCCATGCATGCTGTCGCGCCCGCGTCGCGGCACGACGAACTCGTGACTGACCTTCAGAATACCTGCTAACATCTCCGCGGCGTGAAGACCCTCCGCGGCGCGACGAGCACATCCTCCACGTCGTGAAGACCCTCCGTGGCGCGACAAACACCTTCTCCACGGCGCGAGAATCCGCGCGCCCAAGACCTTTCCACACCATTCCTTCATGCCGGGAAGCTATAATCACGCTGTGAAGCTCTTCTTCAATCACCATCTCTCACGCCGCGAGGAGAAGGACACGCCGCGACAGCTCCTGTATCCGTGCTGTGCCCCGCGCCGTGACACCTCTCGCCGTGGGATCTCCTCGCGCTGCGACGGACCACTCAGAAACGCCGTGGTAAGCTGAAAGAAACCATCCTCCTCCGCGACGCGGCGGATTTAATTCTCGCCGTCAAGAGTTTCTGCCTCGAGCCGTCAGTAGTTAATTAATTCTCACCGTCAATAGTTTCTGCCTCGAGCCGTCAGTAGTTAATTCGCAGTTAATTCGCGCCGTCAGCAGTTAATTCGAGCCGTCAGCACTTAATTCGCGCCGTGCCAAGTGCATAATATGGTCTGGCTTTTGTGCTCCACTTGAGAGATTTGGTCCGCTGTATAAATTCATTGCTCGACTGGATTGGAAAGAATATTGTTAACCTTCCTTCTTCGTTCTTTTTCTTTCTTTCTC